AAATGTTTACTTTGATGGGTTATGTCAACAAGCTGACAGATAAAGCAGAAATTTCATTTATATGTGCAGAATTCTACCAAGCAAGAATATGCCAATTAATTTGGTCACATGCACAACAACAGTGGTGCAGCTGTCATACAAGGGTGTTTATTTGTAACCTGGGTTGCAGGTGCAGCTTCTGCACTTTACAGACAATGAACTGATCAGTTAAATCTGTGATTAGTGAACAACCTGCTCTAACATGACTAGCTGTGTTCTGATTTTACCAATGGTTGTCAGAAACATTAAGTCTTTATTGTTGGTGTGAAAAGTCATTCATTTTAGCTCAGAGCTCAATTTCTTTCTGTTGAACTGGAGTTCTGAGTTCAGTTCAAGGTCAACATTTCCTAGTTGGCCAATCCAGATATTCTACGTGAATCAGCTGTACAGCAATGTGAAGTGCACTTAACGAAAATATCAGCAAAGCACTCTGCAGGGCTCAAACACAGTAAAAGGTTCCATATGAATTTGTGAGAGAGGGTTTGTGGATAATATTTTTTGCATGTGTTGGGTTTTTTCACAATGACTTTTCTGTTGATCTTTTACCAGGTGAATTCTGTGGGGAAGAGACAGGTGACCCCCGAGGTGACTGGCAGTAGCTGGGGTGAAGTAAGGCATGAGGAGGCACATAGGACATCACTTCTTCTTCAAACAGACTGCAGATGGAAGGTTGGAGAGGGGATGAAGGGACATAAAAAAGAAACCAATTCACTAAATGCAATTACTTCAGCAGAGCAGCGAGAAAATGAAAAAAAAAAAAAAGGTAATAACAAGAAGGGGATACACAACTAGTCCGATTAGAAAAAGGAAAGCCAAGAAAAAAAAGACTAAGACAGAGGAGGTAAAGCAGAAATATGTCACCTTAGCAACATGACAAGGTCGGCAGATCCCGACAGCCTGGCCAATCCTGACACTCCATCTGTGCGGATCAGCTGCACTTTCTCCCTGTTGTCACAGCAACATTACAATGGCAATGCTGTTCATTAATGTATCCTATGCATGTATTTCACTTTGACTTTGGCTACTTGAGGGACAACTGGAGCAGATCCCAGTCTGCTCCAGTCTCTGTACGAACCCCATGCTCTCCGATGCAACCACTGGAGTATGAATGTGTGCGTTAGACAGAAAGCACTCAGAAAATAGTCCTGCATGAGGCTGTGTAAAGCGCTTTGAGTGCTCAGAGAGAGTAGATTAAGCGCTATATAAGAATCAGTCCATATTATTTGTGTGTTGTGACTGCTTCTTGCAGACAAAAGCAGTTTCTGCTGGAAAGTCTTGGTTTGCAGTTGCAGTATGGTCTCCAGAAAATTGCAATTTTTATTTTTGTGTTTGCAACGACAGATTTATCATAGTCAGGACATTTTGCATTGATCTTTTCACATTTCCAGGCGTATTTGAAGGTTATGATCAGATTTGAGGGCTAGTGTTTTCAGCTTGTATCAATTTATAGTTTAAATATTCATTTAACAATAATCTTAATTAATTTCTAATATGTTTTTGTAAATGTTTCATCATTTTATTATTGATTTTTATTTCCATTTTCATTTTTTGGCACTTGCTGTTTGTGCATGACTTTGATTATTATGTTGTAAAACTTCAAAAATTAATGGAAAAAAAAATGTTGCAATGCAATTAGCAGTAGCACAATGAACTTTGCTTCCTGCTTTGATGATTTTCTCTTCTGACAATTAGGTTTTCTTGCAATACTTAAATGTTTCTAAATATGATACCACTGTTAAACAGGAACAAGGCACAGCAATATTTTTCACCTTGTCTAAGGTCTCTAATATATGAAGTTGATTCTTGTAGTTTGTTTCCTGCAAGCTGAATCGTGTTCCTCATCAAAGCTACTTAAAACACGTTTAAGTTCTAACTGGGTTTTTCCTAATGAGCCACATTCAACATGTCTTCATAAAGTTTAGCTCAAAAATAATATTTCAGTAAAAATCTGTCAAGATCACCACCGCTTTTAGGAAGTCAATCTCTATACCATGAAACAGAAAACAAATTATGCCCAATTGGACTGAAATATCTACCAACTTGGATTTTTCATTTTTATTCTTTTTGTCATTTGAGACCCGTGGAGCAATCATAAGGTCTATGTGGAGTTTTCTGAAAACTTATGCACTTAAACTCGACTTAAACCGTGGGAACAGACGACAGGTCTGAGGGTTAAGGCGGTGGAGATGTGGATCAGAGGGATTGGATAGTGAAG